GGATCATGACCTGAGCCGAAGGCAGACGCTTAACGACTGAGCCACCCAGGCGCCCCAGCAGTCCTATATTTATTTCCAGACTTTTCTATGTGGATTTTTCAAAATGTGGGATTGTACTGGACACACCGATTTCTAAAAGTGTGTGATTTCATTTAATATAAGATGCACCTCCAAGATACAGTTTCTTCTGCGAACATGTCAAGTCGACTCCTTCAATAAAAGCTTCTGGGTTTACGGACCACCTGCTGTGTGCCAGGCACCACACGAAGGGGCTTCCTGAGTTTTAGTCCCTCAGCAGCCCTCGGAGGTGGAAAACTTCACAGAGGCATTTGTCCGTGGCCACACAAGTTACGGAGGCAGGATCCAAACTCAGTGCTGAGTGACCCCCAGAGTCCTGGTTCTCACTCACCAGGCTGTAGGCTCCCTCTCCAGAAAAGGCTTATTTTATACCCCAAATGAAATTCTGCTTCATCTGAAGAGGTTAACAGACTTCCTGAAGTCTAGCTGTAGACCCCAAGTCAGGCAGGACAGAGGGACTTGGGTTCAAGCCCCAGCCTTCCAATCTCTCGGCTATGTGGCCTTGAACCCATTAGGGCCTCTCTCAGTTTCCTCATCTGTGCAATGGGGACGCCTACCCGGCAGGGGTGCAGGAAGGTTATAGGAAACCACCCAGGCAACACGCCCAGCCCACAGAGCTCTCTCGACAGCCTCTCACCCCGCGAAGGTACCCCCACAAAACATCCACTGGGCTGGCGTGGGTGACAGGCTCCTGAAGCCCCTGGCAAGGAGCTCAGGCACAACCCAGGAGAGAACAGCAAAGCCCTTTAATGGGTCCCTCCTGATACTACAAAGCCTCTCAAAGCGGGAGGATTTTCCAGATAAGGTGTCCCAAGGCTGGGATAAGAGTCTGGGATGGCGAGTGGAAAAGACGGGGCCATCGAAAGCCTCCCTGGCACCTGGTTCCCCCCGGTGGGCCCCGGCCTCGGCCTCGGCCTCTAAGGCTGGCACTTGGCAGACACACTTGGCCAGCCCTGGGGCTGCTCCCAACTCCTCCTCCTCCCCTCTCTCGCCTTGGGCAGGGGAATGCCCGCACCTACGGAAGGCCCTGCCCTCAGTTCTCAGTCTTTTCAGGAAGACTTCCGTGGCCATCCTGGCTAGAAGATCTGCTCCCCCCCCCCCCCCCCCCCCGCCCGGCCCCCCCCCCCCCCACTGCCAGGCCTCACTGTCCCTCCTCGAGCACCTGTATGTGCCAAGCTGCCTGACGCCCTATCTTCCTGGAGGCTGCTTTCCCCTCCACTGGCTCCTCAATTTGGATGGGGACTCCCTGCTCGCATGTGTCAGCTCTAGATCCCCATCAGCTACCACCCAGCCTGGCATATGATGTCAATCAATATTTGTTAAATGAATGATCCCAAACAAAGTCATATCAAGGACAAAACTCAACCCTAAGTTGGTGCCGGAGGATCAACTGGACAGTGGATCTCTAAACCACTGAGAGAAGGGGTCACAGCCTCAGCAGGAGGGGTTCGGCTGGTGCTGGAGGATCCCAAGGCCGCTGGAGGCAGCTCCTTGGGATGAGGCCCTCCCCCCCCACCCCCCGCCCCGGGAAGGAAGGGCCTGTCCCACCGTTTCATGGTGTTCTCTTAGAGAGCAGGATCCACAGCCCAATAACCCTGGGACAAGCCAGCAAATCCCTATGGAGAAGGGGAAACTGAGGCCCAGAAGGTTTGAGCCCAGCTGTAAAGGGGTGAAAAGGGCACTTCAGGACCTAGGCTTGAAACTCTCTCTGCTGCCCACGGGCTGGCTGGGTGGTCTCCAGCAGTTGGCATCCTTTTTTTTTTTTTTTTTAAAGATTTTATTTATTCATTTGAGAGAGAGAGGACAGAGGATGAGAGTAGAGTCAGGGGCAGAGGGAGAGGGACAGGGGAAGCAGATGCCCTGCTGAGCGGGGACCCCGACACAGGGCTCCATCCAGGACCCCGAGATCAGGACCTGAGCCAAAGTCTAAAGACGCCTAAACAACTGAGTCACCCAGGTGCCCCTATTTTTTTTTTAAGTATTTTATTTAAGTAATCTCTATACCCCATGTGGGTCTCGAACCCAGGACCCGGAGATCAAGAGTCACACACTCCTCCAACTGAGCCAGCCAGGCGCCCTGGCCTCCTTTTTTAGAGCCTCAGTTTCTGGATCTGTAAAATGGGACCATACGTTCTCTCTGGCCTGTTCTGGGACCCTTGGTGGGTGCTCTGGTGTCTGTGATCCCGGGATGGCCATTCCTGCTGCAAGAGGAGGTCGTGGGAATTACAGGAGATAATGCAAAGTGGTCAGCCCTGGGACTGGTGGTGCCTGCCACCCTTCCCCTAAGTGGGGTGGTGTTGTTTTCCTTCGACATCTAGCCCGGGGCTTTTTCTTAGACTAATAGGAAGCCAAGGCCAGATACAGGCCCCATTCTTATTCAAAAGTTTTTGCCTCCTTCTCAACTATTGGATCAGCATATTATCTTAGGACCTTGCAAAACAAAATATTTTCACCCACCCCTCCCTTGGGGACTTCTATCCCCCATCTGTCCCCGAACTGTCCTTCCTCATCCGCTCCACTAATGTTTCTTGAACACCTACTGTGTGCCTGGCCCTGTGCATTCAGCCTTGAGACCCCTCCGGAGGCATTCTCCCCCAGAGACGTCAGGCCTTTTTGGCCCACGGGACCCAGTGTCATTGTTTCGCTTCTACGAGGCTCAGAGGATGCATTTGGAGAGGTGCCCCGATCTTACAGGGCTCCTCCCTCCTGCCTGCAAGGCAGCCCGTGGCTCTCAGAGACGGTTGGGATGGTGCAGGCTTTGTGGAGCTTAGAGGTGATGTGATTTGGGGGTCCTCAAAGGATTTCAAAATCAGAAGATGCCAGAAGAGCCCCTAGGGAGGGGCCTTGAAGCTTAAACTCTTGCTGGTGTTTACTAAGGATTATCTGCTGGTGGTCACAGATCAAGATCCCCTCTGATCCTCCCTATAGCCCTGCGGGTGGGGGGTGGGTCAGCCCGTTGCAGCGATAACACTGAAGGAAAACTGGGCATCACTGCCCGTCACCCCAGAAGTGGGAAGAAGGGGTCAGGGGGCCCCAACAGGTAGCAAATGGCAGAACTAGGGGGAGGGGAACTCCCCTGGACCTGCTGTCCCTCCGCCCTCAGAGACAGCAGGCCTAAGGTAAACAAGCCTTGTTGTTGTGTTCTCGGGGCGGTGGTTACTTTGTAATCCCAGCCAGGTCTCTGCCTTCCTCTGCTTCTGCCCCGCTCCTGCGCTCCCCCTCAGCAGTGATCCTCCCCCTCCCTAACCCTCCCCAGGGCTGGGGCCCACCCTCCCGAGAACCTTTCTGATTCTCCTTCCGCCCTAGGGGCTTGGCCCCACATTTCTTCTTGGGCCCAGGAGGCTCAGGGCAGGCAGGCAGCTCCCACGGGGAAAGCCGGGGAGTCGGGGGATGGTGGGTGGTACAGGTGGAAGGCCGAGGTAGGGTAAAGGAGTGGGGTGCTGCTGCTGCTGCTTCTACCAAAGCATCATTCTCAGTGTTCACATTTGCGACAAAGGCTCAAAAATACCTGATTCCTGGGGCGCCTGGGTGGCTCAATGGTTAAGCATCTGCCTTCGGCTCAGATCACGATCCCGGGGTCCTGGGATCCAGCGCCACAAAGGGCCCCCTGCTCAGCGGGGAGTCTGCTTCTTTCTCTTCCTCTGCAGCCCCCCCTGCTTGGCCTCTCTCTGTCAAGTAAATAAATAAAATCTTTTTTTTTTAAAGATTTTTATTTATTTATTTATTTGAGACAGAATGAGAGAGAGAGAGAGCACATGAGAGGGGGGAGGGTCAGAGGGAGAAGCAGACTCTCCGCCAAGCAGGGAGCCCGATGCGGGACTCGATCCCGGGACTCCTGGATCATGACCTGAGCCAAAGGCAGTCGCCCAACCAACTGAGCCACCCAGGCGCCCATAAATAAAATCTTTAAAAAAAAAAATACCTAATTCCAGGTGGGTGCCAGGGCAGAAGGAAATGGGGAGGGTTTTTTTTGTTTTTGTTTTTTTAAGTAATCTCTACTCCCAAAGTGGGGCTGGAAACCATGAAGGTAACATCAAGAGTCACAGGCTCCGCCGACTGAGCCAGCCAGGAGCCCTAGGAATGGGGTTTTTTTCTTTGTTGTTGTTGTTGTTGTTTTTTAAGATCTTATTTATTTGACAGAGCGCACAGAAGCAGGGGGAGCGGCAGGCAGAGAGGGGGAGAGGGAGAAGCAGGCTCGTCGCTGAGCGGGGAGCCCCATGTGGGGCTCAATCCGACGACCCTGGGATCAGGACCCTAGCCGAAGGCAGACGCTTAACCGACTGAGCCACCCAGGCGCCCCGAATGGAGAGTTTCTCATGGGTAATAGTCTGTTCTACAAGATGGAATTGTAGAGATGGGTGGTGGTGATCATTGCACGTTGTGTATTTAATACCACTGAACAGTACACTTAAAAACGGTTAATATGGTAAACTGTGTTATGTGTATTTTACCACAATAAAGAAAACTGAGAAAAACAAAACCAAACCTAACTCCCGAAAAGGCCAGCGCAGAGAGCCTGACTATTTGAGGGGGGGGGGGGAATTTCCCGCTGTCGTCTGGTCCTCTCCATCGCTCAGTTTTCTTATCGGTAAAATGGGCAAGGAAAAAAGCAGCGAGCCCTCAGGGCTCCTTGGAGGGCGAATGGGACAGCCGGTGTAAAGATCCTGGATCGTTTACCCAAATCGGCGGGTGGATTCGTTCACCAGTACTCCGCGGCGCCTACAGAGTGCACGGCGGGGCTGGGTAAACTGCGGACGCTGACAGCGGGGTGCAGACAGCTAACACATCAAACTAGCAACCGAAAACCCGGGGTCCGGGATTCAGAGCGGCGGGGCGGGAGCCGCGGCCCCGGGGGCGGGCCGGGGCGGGGCCCGGCGGTTTATAAGCTCGCGCCCCGGCGGCCGCCGCACACCAGACGCCTCCCGGCTCAAGCCCTTCGGCCGCCACCGTCGCCGCCGCCGCCGCCTCCGACGCGAGGTGAGTCCGAGCCCCTGCCCGCCCTGCCGCGGCCCTCGCTCACCCCGCTGCCCTCCGCCCCTGCGCCCAGCCCGAGCCCGGCAGGCAGGCGCTCAGGGTGCTGCCCTGGGTGCCGAGCGGCTGGAAGCGTGGGGACCTGTGGCCAGGTTTTTCCGTCCCGGGCAGCTGTTGGGTGTGTCACTTTCGGGCGACGTTTCGGGACCCCGGCTCCGATACGCCCCCTCTCCGGCCGGGTCTCCGGGTCCCCGCCGGCGATGGTACCAGCCGCGGCCCCCGCGGGCCTCAGTCTCCGAGACTGTGCAGCTGCGCCCCGCCCGGAGGGCCGGACGGGAGCGCGGGACCGCCAGCCACGGGCCGCGGCCGCACAGCCGGGTGTCCACCGAAACCTGGAAGATGGCGTCGGGCGCTGGCCCCCGCCGGGACCCGGGGCGCCCCGAGTCGCCGCGCACCTGCGAAGGGCCGGAGAGAGGCTTTGTCGTGGGCCGCGGGGGGAAGTCCGGAACAGGAACTGCGCGCCGAGCGGGGCGCGGCCGCCGCCCCGCACCTGCCCTCGCCCTGCACAGGTGCGCCCCGCGGGCGCGCCCGGCCTCGCTTTGCAAACCGGAGCGGCCTGCGCGCTCGGCGCTGCGGTGGCCGCGGGCGCGTTCCGTCCGGTGACCGGGAAGGGTCCCGCCGCCAGCCCCGCGCGCGGCCAAAGCAAGCCCGGGGGTGGGGTGGGGGCTCCGGGCTCTGTACGCTTTCGCTCAGAGCTTCGGTCTCCTGGGCGCGAAACCGCTTTGTAAACCGTTAATCGTTACTGTAATTTTCGCCGGAATGAGCCACCCCGGGGGGCAGGACGTTGTTGTTGCTGCCGCCGTTGTAACATTTCCCCCCGCCTACCCCCAGCACCTACTGTGGCCCGGGCCTTTGATCGGGTGTTGGTGAAGCTTCGCTCGGGCTCCCCAGGAAGGGAGGGTTATCAGCGTTATCCTTCCCGCGTGGGGTGGGGGGGGCAGGCAGTTGAGCTCTGTGCTGGCCGGCCTCCAGAGGCTGAGGCCTCATTTCACAGGTGGAGAAACTGAGACTTCGGTCCCGGAGGCAACATAAAGACTGTCAAACTACAAAGCCCGGGGCCGTTTTCTGGGAGTTCCGCCAAAACTCTCCACCCAGCCACCTTCCAGCTGTGTTGTCTTAGACGGGCTACTCCACCTCTGAGCCTCAGTTAGCCCATTCTGTAGAATGGGTCCCTGAGGTTTCCTCAGCAGGTGTGAGCACCCACCCAAGCGTTGGTGGCTGTGCGTGGCTTCCCTTAGAATGAACACTTTAAAACCTTTTTTCTGCTTATCTTGGGCATGCCTTTGGGGTAAATTCTTAGGAGTGGTGCAGTTTAGGTGTTTATTGGTGTGGTTTTATACTTAGTTCCCTAAGTGGTCTGTCTGAGGCCTTAAACCGGCTGAGGTTCCAGCCTTAGCCACCTGGCTGTTGGTGCAGCTCTTGCCCACAGCTTCAGCTCTCCTCCACCCTTCCCTTCCCGCTCCAGGATTTGGGGATTTCCCACCCTTTTAACCTCAAGGTCACAGGGCTGTCACTGACTGCTTTACCTGTGGCTCCTAAAGCTTTACCAATGTTAATGTTGTACATGTTTATTTGGGCTTGTTTTTGGTGTAAATTGTCCAAAGCATCTGGGGAGATTGGATTTCCAGTCAGTGTCTCAGAATGCCCTGGGATGGGGGGACCTATTTTTTTTTTTTTTAAAGACTTCATTTATTTATTTGAGAGAGAGAACGAGAGATAGAAAGCACGAGAGGGAAGAGGGTCAGAGGGAGAAGCAGACTCCCTGCTGAGCAGGAAGCCCGATGTGGGACTCGATCCCGGGACTCCAGGATCATGACCTGAGCCGAAGGCAGTCGCCCAACCAACTGAGCCACCCAGGCGCCCCGGGGGGACCTATTTAATCAAACTTCTAAGATGGCTGCCAGGTGATGTTTATATATATATATATATATATGTATAAAATATTTATTTATTTGGTGGGAATTCTGGTCGCAAGAATGTTTTTCCAAGCACCAAGGATCCTGTGAGGCCCTCTGGGATGGAGTGGGGCCTGAGACAAATGGAGCGATACACTTAGCACTGTCCCCATGGGTGTCATTCTTTTTCCTTGTGTCCGTTCACTTGCTTGCCTCCTGTGAGAAGTCTTCCCTGACTACCTCATCTAAAGGTGCAGCCCTAAAAAAAATATAAAAAAAATAAAGGTGCAGGCCCTTCCTCTCTTCCTATTCCTACTAGTTCCTCTGTGCAAGGACCTTATTGGACTGTTTCAGGCCACTGAAGATAGATTGAAATTACCCATTTGTGCTCACTTAGCATGACACTACCCTGCAGCTCCAGAACGAGAGGACCAAAAGTCACACCCAGTGGAGTATCCCTAGCCCGTGGCACAGCCTGGGCACACTGGGAAGAGACTGGGCGGAGGGTTTTCTGCATGTTAAGTACCCGAAGTTTCTGGCGGTATGAAAGCTGGATTCACTGAGCTGCGGAGAAACCAGAGAGCAACGTGAGCCCATTTTTTCTCTGCTGGTCGGCTCATCTGTGGAAGGAGGTGCTTGGGGAATGGCTCCATCCGCTGGTTGAGTCTTGAAGCTGACCTCGGAGGTATTTTCCCCTCTCCCTGGAAAGCATCCTGTTTTTAGTGAACCTATTACGTTTGTAGACAATTCATGGCTTCTTGCTTCCCCTGCCTCCGAACATAGTGGATCCCACGAGAGTCCGGCTGTTTTTTTCTCTCTGCTCAGAACAATTCCAAGAGGTTTCAAGGAAGTCCCCGGCACGCTCGGGTTTTGTTGTTGGCAGCCACCAGGAAGCCTGCCGTGGGTCCAGAGGGGACACGTGTAGCCGCTCCCTCGTCTCTTTGTCCTGCGCTGGTTGGCTGGGGCCAGGCCCTGGGAGAAATACAGAATGTAAGCAAATAAGGCCACGGGCCCGAGTTCCTCGTTGGCACTGAGGCCGGCCCCAGAGAGGCCGGGGCTGGGGGTCAGCGCACTGATGCAGGCTCAGGGAGGACAGCTGATTTTCCTAGTGTCAATATTAGGGTGTGACAATACAAAACACCCGCTGGGCCTTGCCGGGCACTGCGTGGTAAACCTGTTTTGCTGGAGGTGGGAGAAGACAGCCTGTCACCCAGACTGAGCGGAAGTGTGCGCTCTAGAGCCAAGGGCAGCCCACCGGGCTACCAACTGGAGGGCTGTCACTGGGATACAGATGTTTAGAATTGAGAGCTCTTGTCGTCCCCCGCCCCCCCCCAAAGATGTTGGCATTTGTGTGTCTATGGCTTGGAGCTCAGAAGCAGCTAGATCAAGGTGAGGATAGACGTCTGCCAGGTTTCCCGAGTACGGAGGATGACGCATCAGGAAAACCCCAGCTCTGACTGAGGTGGCCAGTGTGGCACGTGCGTCTCCTGAGCTCCAGGCTCATAATCATAGTTGCCCATTAGTGGGCGCTTACTGTGTACCGCCCATGCAGCCTCTGCCTCCTCACAGCAGTACTTCTTGCTGGTGAGGGTGTGTGAGTCCAGGGTCTCCGAGCCAGGAATTGGCTGTGGCTGTGAGCCCAGCTCCCTTGTTTGGTTTTGCAGTATATTGTCTGCCCCTCCTGCCCCCTGACTGTCCCCGTTCACTAGGTCACCACTCTGAGCTGGGGCAGACAGACAGGTAAACATTTAATGAGACTAGAGTGGGCCAAGTGCCCAATCCAAGTCTGTTTACCGAAGGTGCTGGGACAGTGCAGATGAGGAGCAATTAATTCTGTCTTGGGGAGGGTGGGGCGGAGTTGCGTTCTGGGCCAGGACGAGTCCAGTGGGGAGCTGAGGACTTTGGCCCAGGGAGGAAACGGGAGCCCCCAAAGCATCTGCCTTCGGCTCAGGTCATGATCCCGGGGTCCTGGGATCGAGCCCCGCATCAGGGAGCCTGTTTCTCCCTCTCCCGTTCCCCCTGCTTGTGCTCTCTCTGTCAAATAAATAAATAAAATCTTTAAAAAGGTGGGGGAGACCCGAAACTCTGGAATAAAGGACCCCCGAGGGCTGCATCTGCCTCTCTGGGCACCTCAGAGATTGGGCCCAGCAGGGCACAATCTTTTACGTAACTTTAAACACTTTAACTTATTTTTATTTTTTCTTTAATGAATTTTAAAGTAATTTCTGTACCCAACTTGGGGCTCGAACTCACAACCCCGAGATAGCAGAGTCACATGCTCTACCAACTAAGCCATCCAGATGCCCCAAGAACTTCTTTTAAATACATGCTTCTTAAACTTAAAAACTGCAGGCCCAGGTAGTATCTTGACTCCCTGTCCTTTCTAATGGTGATGGAAAAGCAGAGGGGTCCACTTCGGTCCCCTTTTGGATGGCAATGAGGACTTTGAGAACCCCTGGGTTTTCCTTGCCTTGCCGCCCCCCCCGCCCCCAACCTGTTTTCTGTTCACTCCGTTGAACTGTGTATTGTAACAAAACACCACTGACTGGGTGGCTTGTAAACCACAAATTTATTTCTCACGGCTCTGGATGCTGGAAATCCAAGGCCAGGGTGCCGCTGACTTCCTGTATCCTTGAGTGGGGGACTGGGGGGCCGGAAGGGAGCTCTCCGGGGCCTCTCTTAGAAGAGCACTAATCCCATTAGTGGAGCCTGCCTGATCTGATTGCCTCTTAAAGGCCCCACCTCCTGATACCATCAGCCTGGGCTTTATGAATTCGGGAGTGGAGGACACAAACCTTTAGGCCACAGCAAACTGGTGTAGAGCCAATTTCAAAATCAGTCATCCAGAGAATTATTAATCTGTTCTACTTTATCCAGGTTGGGGGGTCTTTATAGATACTTGATCAGGAAAGGACCTAAAAAGAAAATCTCCCCAATGCTTGTTTTACGGACAAGGAATTAGGGGTCCAGAGGGGCTAAGGAACTTGTCCAAAGCCAAACGGCCAAGCCCAGACTAGGACGCAGGTGTCCCAGTAGCCTGAGTGCCCCTTG